CTCTCTCTCTCTCTCTCTCTCTGTGTCCTAATTTTAATACAAAGTCTAGAAAACTTAATAAAATCTTTTAATAAACGGCAGGAAAGATTGCCAAAATACTAACAATGTGCACGGCTCTTTTGCCCAACTCCTTCCTCGCAAAATTTCATATTATTTATTTTTCGTAGAACATCCAAGATATTAGAAATAACCGCATGTTTCGGAAATAATTGCCCTTTCATTTCTATAAATATTTTATCTATCTTATATGTCTATCTTGCTTTGTCTGGTCGGATTTATTAACAATATAGACTTGAGTTTCATGTTTCGGAAGTTGTTAATTATGACGATACGTGTTAATAAGTGCAACGGCGTGGTAATAAAACGATGACAAATATGGAATACGTGGAAATTGCAGCGGACGCGCACCGCGTAATTTCACAATTCACTTCGTCGGCGGGAGGAGGCGTGATCAAAATTCAAGAGATTCACCACGGGGGATACCTCGTAGCTTACGTGCATTGTACATCGTAGAACTACGTTATCTATAATCGATTAAAAATGACGAATCGTTTCCTATGCATTGTTTTCCGCGTATAAATACACAGCATAAATATACTTGAACTCTTTGGAATTCGATGAAGTTCGCTAAAAGAAACAAACAAATGTTAATACAATTCTAAAAACTAATAATTGTAGAAGCAATTAATTATTCAATTTGGACGAAAGATAGTCAAATTGCCACATCTCGCAAGTAGTATATTTATTCTTTTAAACATCCTTAAAAAATCTTAAAATTTATTCGTGCAACTAGTGTATACATTGCTTGCGGTAGAAACTCAATCACATTATGTAATTGCATGTTTGCTTGTAGCAGGATCTCCGCCTCTCAGCCTCGGTATAGAAATAAAAATGATTTATCTCTCTCTTATCGCTTTCGCGATTCAAGTCACTCTCTCTCTATCTCTCTCTCTCTCTCACGCGAATGCACAACTAGTATTTAAATCGAGAACATATGCGTTTCGCATTGATCATTTCTAGGAAAATAACTTATTTTGAAAGAAGGAAAATCATTTGTTTCTCTACTTCGTCAGATATGTCATGCGAGGCAACAAATCGAGGGACATCCTCGCACCTCCGCCCGTAACATCTCAGCGTTAATTGAAGAAGCTTATGAAAATCGTGAGTTATTGCGACCAGGAAAGTGGTCGGAGCTGCATGATAACGGCGGCCAAGTGACCAGACCGGTGCAGCGAGATACTTCAAGGCAGACGTATTCTCCTCTGATGACTTCCGTATCTTTAGAGTCGCAATACACACGAAGGAAATTACTGGGAGGTACGTTTGGAAGTGCAATCGGGACCAAAATTTTTTTAGATACCGTTTCTTTAATGGTTCCCGAAGAAAGACATTTCCAATAGCTATTGAGAAAAGTTCTCCAGTGTGAACTGTCCTCGCAGGTAGAAAACATATTTTTACATTAAGTAGCGAAAGCGCTGCAAAAATTAAAAAATATGTCTCAATATTAATCGATTAATTATCACACAACATTAAAATCCGGATAGACAAAATTGTTTTGCCGAGTAATTCATAGCGATGTTTCACTATTCTCGCGATTACATTAATTCCCGATAAACCATTGTTATAATCAGACTTTTTGTTATTATTTAGGTCTCGATGTATTTTTTACATACACTATAATGAATCTTTTTATAAAAATACATAAGCCTATCCTGCATGAATCAATTTATTTGTACTAATATTGCAAAATTTTGTTTCAAGTGTTAAGCTCGAGGGCGTCAGACGCAGACGGGAAAATTATTTTTCCGACAGACACTACGGTTTCGATGCCGAGATTTGCGCCGATGTGCTATAACAGCACATTCTGCGAGAACGTCGCCAATTACCCCAGGAATTTGGTAAATGCGGCGATAGCGCGAAACCACAGTTTCAGGTTTCTGGAGAGCATCGATCAGGTTAATAATCTAATATCTGCAGCATTGGAACTCGAACTTTATCAAAATTATATACTGCTTTCAATCAATGTGTAATATGAGAACATTTTCCTTGCTTATCAAATTCTAAGAAGTACTTCAATTCACATTCGTATTTTTTTTAGATGCCTGACATTGAACAAAGAATAGACACAGCAGATGAAATAGCACTTTGCCGTTCTCAAGTAAGTAATCAGAAATTTTTTTTCTCGTTAATTTATGATATCTGATTAATCTTCACGCAGTTTCTTCACGTGTTGATTTTCCACAATCACGATATTTAATAGGAGTTAAGCCAAATGCAAAAAATATATAGAAGAAAAATATAACTGTTGAGACAAATATTGATCTCTTCATTTCGTATCTTTTTTATTTCTGTTCGAGCAACTTGTATTATACGAAAAATTCAAAAAGCAAAGCGACTTTTTAAAAGAGTTTAATTTCTTAAATGTCCCCTTACTTTTTGATTTATCTTAAACATTTTTTTATTTTTTACAAGCACTGTAAAAATTTTTATTTTAAAATCGCGCTTGGTTTGCAGGACAAAGTGGTGTTTCCACAATCTGCGCAGAACAGAGAAAAGGAGTGGTTGTTTGTTGTAAACCAAGAGAACTTGAAACAAGGAATACGCGTCGAGATTTGCACGTAAAGACGCGATTTTTTATTCAAAGAACAATAAAATAAAGTTTATATAGCGAGCTTTATTTTATTTATTTTTTTTTTTTTGCAGGAATGAAGATCAGGAATGTAGCATGTCTTATGGCTTTGCTGAAGGTTATAAAACCAGTTGTAAACAAAAATTTATCTACCGGGAACTGGTGGCAATGACGAGTAATGGTCAAATTATCAAGGATCAATTCAGTTTTCCGTCAAGCTGTTGCTGTCACGTAAAGTTCACCGGTAATCCGCAGCTCAGGTTAAACCTGGAGCTAAACTTACCACGCAATCAAACTACCAGGATATCGAGAATATGAAAAAAAGTGATAAAAGTTAATATAAAAAAAAATTGTGATGCGTACTTTACACGATACTTTTACTAGCATACTAACTACTGCGTTAATATTTAGTAATATTTAGTAATATTTTGTTCGGAAATTTTAAGTCGAGCAGAATAGTATTCAATTTTCGAGATCTAATGTCAAATTTGCCTGTTTACTCATAAAAAGTACCGTGTATATTGCAATTAGTTGCTTTCCTTAACGAGGATTAACTACGGATTTTTTAAGGCAAATATGCAATAATGAAAGAACAGCACAAAAAAAGAAATAAAAAATAGGGAAAATTAGAGAAGAAAATCAACAAAATTTTCTATTGTGGCAACATATTTTCCGCTTCGCGGAAAATATCCTAAATAAAAAATAGCTCCTTAAACATTGTTTCGATATATTAGAAAAATTAGAAAATTTGAAATAAATTGCGATTATATTTTACATGCATTTTTGCATGGAAAATTTCTCCTCGTGTTCCAAGACGTTATAGGCTTGGGACAATAAAATCACCAACGAGTATTATGCAAAACATGCTTAGAGTGAGAGAAATTGTTAATATTAATTTTTTATACGTATCTATATTATACTCACGTCTGCTTTATCGCAGAGATATTGAATATTAATTTTCTAAACTGTTTCAAGTATTAACTATATATGCTATAGAATATCAAACATGAAAATTATTTAAATAAACATTATTTTATTCACATTTGTTACTCTGAGTTTTCTTCAGAATATTTTTGCGACTTTGATACATATTTTCTAATCTATTATCCAAATCACAATAAAATATTTTAAATTATATTAAAATTTTAAATAATTAAATTACCTTTGTTAACATAATGTATAAATTTTTAAACAAACACGCTAGTAAAAAAGCATTGTGTAAATTATGCCTAAGTGGAGTCTCATATATCTTGTTTTAGCAAGGTGTCGAGAGGATTGTTGCATTTAATTTGGGCTTTCATAAATTTTCGAAAATAATCAACAATGCTAATGCTATGTTAATTAACAAAAAAAGTATTTATAATGAAATGCAGTTTTTATACACAATGCGCTTTCTAGATTCTTATAAAATGTAAATGATATTTCATGGTAGGATAAGAAACGTGTATATTATATATCATGTGATATTATGTGATATGGATTACTTTTATGTTAAGATATATAGATGTATTTACGCTGTATCCTCTAAATCTTATGAGTAACCTTACGAATAAAGTGATCTATTCTTTCGTTTTGTATACTTTGACACAAAATTGTCAGATTGCTGACAAGGCACAATTTATAAAATATTCCAAACCTTTTTAAAAGCAACATCCCATGCTTTAGTCAAAACTCAATTACCTATGCTGTATAATTATTTCTGGCAGTTTTTTTATTTCCAGTGGAAGTTACCTGATATGTATAGATGTGTCTTAACTGTCTAATAAATCCTGATGAAAATGCCATCTTGTGCGAGTGGAAGAAATGCACTCGTTCTTTCTTCGACGAGTAAGGAACATAGATATTAAACGAAGATCAGTCGGTGTTTGTCTGTTGTATTAAATATCAGTCGCAAGGTATTCTGCAACATTCATAAAGCTATTCTCAGCATGCCTGAAACAGAAAAAACAAATATGTTAGAAAAAGATGTTAGAATAGGACATATATGTATACATATGCACATACCATTGTCGACAAATGCACAGCATTTCATGCAGCGTGTTTGAACGAGGTTGAACATACCTTAGCACCAAAATCATTATCGAAACCACTCTTCCTTTGCAGTTGCGCCTGGAGATCGGCCAGTTGCGCGATCGACATGTCGATGTCACCGCTGCTAATATGTGCTGTATGTCTGAAGTTTGTGGGAACACCGATCATGCTCCGGTCTATCCTGAGCCTTTGATGCTGCCTGCCGTTGTTTCGTCTATTGTTCCTCGTCGCTTGTGGAGTCAAACAGCACGTGAAACACTGCACCCAGAGTTCACTGTTGCCGGCCATCTTACGATATCCTCGCCTCTTGTTTGTCGAGAATAGATCCTTGCAGAGATTAACCTGCGTAACCTCAAAGGAAGTTCGAATTTGTCGATTCAATGAAGAAATTCTGCCTGAATGAACGACAATTCGAGGCTTCTTTGTTCGGAATGAGAACGCGCGCAAAGAGCGACGATCGAAGATGCGTAATAAATAGACTTTGTTGGAACGGTGATGTATAGGTTATATTCACAAATAAAATTACCGGATGTCGGCGATTGCTCTCGCGTTAACCTTTCAACGCACTGATCTCAACAGCTGACGAGTTGAGAAAAATAAACATTCTCGTGGAACACGCAGCCCGCGGCTGCAAAGGACATTGTTCCTCGAGAGCGTAAATACCTAAAACCAGGATATTCAGCGGTGGAAACAAAGGCAAGCTCTTCGCGTTCTCACGATGTTGACGCGAGCGCTGTCACGCATAAAGTCCGTTTTATATGGCCGTAGAGAATATCTCAGGTATTATCGTATTCCAGTAACGTCTGAATTTTTTTTATGGACTTTATCGATAATTAATAAAAAATCATGCAAGTGCCCTCATTTTTGCTCTTCATGTTCTATGAAGGATGATATTACAATGCAAAACTTTGATCTATAATTATTATTGCAAATTATAGACCGTAAGATGTTCGTTCCACTTGCACTCTCCATGCTTTATCTCTTTTCTTCTTATCCCAACGAAGCGTGCGTATCTCAATTTGAGAGCGGAAAGTGCATAAAAATGGTTAAAATTAGACTTGAGATAAAAAATTTCAACATATCGTGCGTAACATACTGATCAATGTGCAATATTAATTCATAAAGTCTGAAGATTCAAACAGTTTGATCGTTATCTGGCAATTGTAGCCTTGATCTAACTCCATGAGTTTCCGCTCACTTTTGCACAAACAGAACATTTTTAAAAATAAATATATCAAGTCCTTGCATAATTATGTTAATCAATAATTGTCTTTCATAACGAAAGAATAATGAAGGCACAATGCGAAGGGTATAATGTCAGCTGATACATTTTATTTAAATAAATTATGTACAGATGTGCTTCGAGCTGGATCGAAACGTCCGATCCGCGCTTTTCTTGCCTAAAACATAAATTAAGGTATTAATTTCTTTTATATTAAATTGACTGCAAAGGCCATCGCTCTTTCATATGTTTAAATCAACTCTCCGAGCTCTCTCTTTTTCTTTCAGGCTTTTCTTTTTAAACAAGTCCTCTCTCTTCGCTCCTGTCGCTCCGTTCACAGGACGTGTGGTTCACGCAGACGTTGTTAGAATTATCACAGTCTGTCTATTTACAGTGTTAAACGTTAACGTGATGTTCTTAAGAAAATTAATGTTGCCTCCCCCTCTCACGTCTCGATCGAACACTCCATGCCGCGCGTTCGCGTTTCGTATTTAACGCGAAAACTCGGCGAAAACGCTACTTAAACGCTAAATGTGGATTTTTGAAACAGACTTTCATAATACTTCAATTATACGGATTTAGAGGAAATGCATCGCGCTTGCGAGCGAACCTAAGAAAGTAAACTTATGTATTTAATCGTATGTGTACCAAGTAATCGGATAACTTAATGGCGAATGCGTACTATAAATTCTCTCACTTAACATATTGTGTATTTACATCTAACATACTTACATACAAACGTCACATAGTAAAAATTATGCTGAATTATCTTTTATATACACTGACATTTAGCAGAATACATTATCCTTTTCTGAAATCCAGAGTATTTAATGTTTATATTTATGGTATCGTGCGCACTTTTTCGGCGATGGCTGTTTAAGCGCGGATAGACGATATTTAACTCTTTCTTAACGAAAGTATGTAATTTACAAGAAAAGCATTTTCGGACATATTTTTACACCATCTTTCTTTAAAGTAGATAGAATAACACTTTTAAAATTTGGTCGTTTCCTTCGGGATTACTTCGTGTATAAAATTTCTATGTAAAAGTAAAATATAAATCTTTTAATCGAATATAAATAGATCTTTCAATTAAATATAAATAGATCTAATCGAATTAATTAAATGTATAGATTTTAACTTTAATATATTTTTTAAATCTTAGATAGAAAAAAAGAGAATATACTGGAAAGGCTTTTTGATCGTTTTGCTTAAGGATCAAAAATTGTAGTTATGTAATTATTTCTCTTTTAGTTTAGGCAAATTCGTTTTATACGAATAGGCTACCCTATTGTTGGAATACAATTGCGCAATTTATGCCTTTGCGTTTCAAGTCAAATACTTTCGGGGCGAACACATCGTATATTCGGTTAAAAAATCCAAAACTATTTTTTTCTTTATCAGTTGATATATTATTTTAATCTAATTCTTCATACATATCTTGATGCGCTTCGATCCCCCGGAAGTGTTTAAGTTCCTACAACACAAAAGCATAAGTTCCACCGATTGTACGACGGTCCAACAGAATCGCGCGATGTCTAAATAAAATGCGGAAGCTGATTTTCTTAAAAATCGATCCGATGATATGAATAGTAGAATGGATTGTCGTTCTATTAAATTGTGTTAAATAATATTTAAAAAATTCATACCTCTCTACAAAAATGATCCAAAAAACTGTGGTTAAAATTGACGACGATTGTGCGAAACCTTGTGTAGGCAAAAAACAATTAAATGTGTGTCCCCGAATAGACATAACAGCTGTATCGTGAATTCTTATGAACTTCCGCACTCTATTTATAACACGACATATTCATAAATGATAAATCAAAAAAATGATCAGTGTCAATGTAATCGACACTTTTTATTTCGTAGACACGTTCTACAGATTTATCCCAGCGATTACGTAAATATTTATTTACTTTTTATCTCTTCATCTCTCTCTATTTTACGTTCCTCTTCAACCGTTATTAGTCATTTATTATAATCTCCAACACAAAAACTGTTTCGTGCGCTGTAAAAAATACAAATTTATTATTTGATTTATAGAGAATCTTTTCGAAACTAACTCGATAAAAAGTTCATTATGCATACGCGATTTCTTCAATCTTTGTTTTGAAATCTACACGGGAATAAATCTGTAAAAAGTAATCTGTACTAAAATGAAAAGTCTTTTAACCGGTGTGCTCGGTATGCGGGACACGGGATCTTAGTATAAATATAGTGACTCTCTAACGGGCGAAACCTAGAAAATCGGTGAGCCGATCGTTCCAATCGTGGATCCAGTGAGTGGGCCCGTGGCTCGGCTGGCGCTGTTTGCACGGATTAATCTCCTTCTCCGGCGGCATGTATTCCTCGCTGCGTATGCAGAAGTAGCTCTTGATCGGGCTGCGGCACATCGGGCAACGGTCGAGCTTGCCGAAGCACGAGGCACAGATGCAAGTGTGCCGGCAAGGCAGCAGGGCGCGCGACAACGGGAAGTACTGGCACACCACGCATAATTGCTCGCCCGCGGTGTTCCAGAGAGAACCGTTCTCCTGATCGCCCCTGGCCGATCCTTGGCCGGAAGCCATCAAGTTGTCACGGCCGCCACCGTTGGAAGTGCCGTTGCACGGCTCGGCGAGCGCCAGCGAGCCCAGGCCCGCCGACGACATCGCGTCGCTCTCGTCGTAGTTGCTAGAGTTGCCCGTGGCCAGGTACAGTTGCTGCGGCGAGAAAATCGCGAGCGCGAATTTACCACGACGTGCATTTCAAAGGCCCTTCTCTTATTTCTTTTTTTTTCCGGAATATATAATTGCAACAGCGAGAGCTTTCCTCTCGCGAGAAGATTTGCTTCTACTTTCTTGGCGTTTTCACTTTCGCGTTTATTTTTTTGAGCAATTGCAACGATAAAACTAGACGAAGACATCGTGATCTTTTTTTTTTTTTAAGAATGCAATCGTAAAACAAGACAGATAACGTGTTATTAACGGCTGGTTCTTTGAAGAGAGACTTACCTTCAAGCACGACAGTTGACCGTTTGCCTGCTTCAAATACTGCGCCAGGATTGAAGTCGGTAGAGTGCACACGCTGTCCTTAATGTGAACGACGTTTACCAGGGCCACCTAAAACAGAAATCGACGCTCCGTTAATAATAATAATAATAAGAAAGCCAGTCGATAACGCAAGTTCTTTCAAGCGATTTCCCTTTTACCGCAAAAAAAAAAGTGAAATACTACTCACAGTTTCGTCGGGATGGAGATCCCGATTGTCTCTCCGGGTGAGGAAAATCACCAAGGGGTAACAGAGTCGTGGCGGCGTGCCGAGCTCCAGTTCCGGAGCCGGGAGCGACAGTCTTAGCGTTTCCTCCCCATGCGGTTGTCTACTATAGTCTCGGTCAAGGAACGCCGATTACATAACGGTTACTTCGAAATTGCACGGCAACATTCCTCGGTACCGCACGGGTGAAACACGCGCTCCGTAGTAAACAGGATGCGATGCAGGCGATTTGTAAACTCGCTGAGTTTACGGATTTTCGCGCGTTTTACCGAGCAACGTTGCCGATCCAATTTCGGCGCAACCCTCGTTTGTTGCGAGAGCGACTCGCGCGGTGAATCGTTCGAGGATCAGATTTCCCTCGTGTCTCAATTTCTCTTTTTGAATTCTTATGAAAACAAAACTCTTCGCCAATTCAGATTTCAAAGGATACATTTGGGGCGGCGTGAGGTACTGCGCGTGGCCTTTCAGAAGAGTCCCGTTAAGAGAGGCGTCACGCAGCGTGCTCCAGGGTTTCCAAAGCGCCAAATGCAGCTCTCTGATGCTGACGCCCCAGATCGCCTGCAGTGAGTATTCGACTTGGCTGGATACTTCACACTCCACTTCTAGAACAAGCGATTTTTTTTCAACCGTATCGATGAGCGCTCGCCGTGTATTGCTTGCGCAATGTGAACATTTTTTGCCGCAGATTTCTAATAATTTATTAAGTACGATATAGAATACAAATACAGAAGTATGATTCAAGTTTTTTCTCTCTCTCTCTCTCTCTCTCTCTCTTTTATAAACACTGAATAACTTAGTAAAAAATGTGTAAAAGCAATATATTAATATTCACTTGCATTATAATTAGAAATTATTTACACACCTCAATTTACGATTGTATTTTTGTTTCTTTTAAAAAATGATTAGGCAATTAAAATTAACAAGCGCTAAAATGTCATCACCACATATCATATTCTCGCGTCATGCAATCAAGAATTATGTATAAGAAAATAGCAAAAAAGAGACAATCATTTAATATCTTCTTGTTTAATCGAGTTGTGTATTGATAGCTATTATTAATCTGAACAAAAGAAATCATCACAGACTCATAAAAACTTAAATGTCAAGATGATTATGCACGTTTTCAAGCTATCGCAGTAATATAATTGTACATTAAGAAACATTAATTAGAGTCAAGCTAAAGTTAATTTGCCAATTACATTTCTAATTTTTATTACTTCGTATATTTCTCGCTTATTTCATCGACGATTATCGCTTACGAAGAAGACGAGGAATGTGGATTTATCGCGCGACTGTTGGTGCGCAATGTAGATTAAATTGCTTTGTTTTACGCACCAATTATACTCGCGCAACAATTCCACTTGCTGTAACGATATGTGACGCAATCGAGGCGTATAATGCGTGTGTGCAGAACCTTACAAAAGACCAGTATTACTATAAGTACGAATTTTTGTCGGCGTTTTCTTTTCTGCAGACTCGAGGTGCTTCGGCGAGACGCTCGCTTAATTGCGCAAATGTGCGTTTTGCAACGCTCCGTAATTCACCATCCCGCATGCCGGTACTTTTTTCCACCGCCGAAGAACGCGCCTGGTCGATCGCTCGCAAGGATTATCTTACGATCTCGCACGATCACTTAACGATCCCACGGCAGGTCGACCGCCGAGCGTGTAAGATGTAAATTTTGCTCACTCCAAAAATGCCTCGCCCACTTGTAAAGGTCACGTAGAATTAGATTCGAGATTGATAAATCATAATGGTCGAGAAAATATATTCAAAACTAAGTTTGATCGATCAATTTCGTGTCGTATAAATTGTGCTTTAATTTTACGTTTCACTTTTCGCGCATATCGAACTACTAATTATTACAAATCGCCGGATGCAATTTAAAATTACACAAATATCGATATACGCAATGATCAATTTAAACGTTTCTCGATGTTGATACAAAAATCGATTTGAAAAGAATGGCAGAAAAATTCTTTGAATCGAAAGATTTATTCTTTCATCGCTTTTTATAGGACAATCATGTGATGATTGAAATGATGGCCTTTAATTGATATGTAAATCAGATACGCGATATTTTTCATTGCATTTATGACGTCTGTACACGTACACGAAGGTATATCGACCTTACTACTCGTCGCGACACGCATCTCGACGAGAGAGCTCGAGGCAAAATAGCGGCGGTGCTGCGGCGTTACAGCGCTGTTATTTCACGGCTGGTCACTAAAAATTATTGCATAAGATACGCGCTTTCGACTTCTCTCTCTCTCCCACTTACTCTCTCTCTCTTTCTCTCTTCCATATCATCACAATCCCGTTTCGAGATATATCTACTGTGTAAGAGGGCTGTAAGCGGGTTTCCAGGTCGCGTCATACTTCGCTCCGGCAACGCGCTCTCCTCTAATCTCCCGACTATTGCGAGACAGCCACGCATGAAAGGACAGCGGACGAGAAGCGTCCGATAAAATGATTGCATTGTTAAACGGGAGATTGCACTCCTGAATTCGATTGAGGTAAGATGAATCGGAGTCTAGGTTGCAGTAACCTCACACGAATCGACTCCGGGGCTCAAGTGGAATCGCGCCGTGTCACGCGAGACGACCGTCGGTGTCGCCGGTTAGCTTTCACTTTTATTCGCCTCTCGAGAACTTTTGCAAGATCTCGAATGCGCGCGCGATGACGAATTTTTTTCGCGTGAATCCAGCCGTCCGCATCTCCGATAGATGACCCTCACCGCCAATCGCGCTTCGAAAGTCAGAATTGCGGAACGTGGTCTCGATCCGCGATCGTAAAACCGGCTCGCGGTCTACTCTGTTTCATTTCATTTCTTTTTGCTCGATATATTTCCTTTTTCTGCTTCGGTAATCGATGTCTACGTTCTGCAAGGATGCCGGTGTCGCCCGGACCCGGCGAAGGAGACACGTTAACGAGCGGACATATACGTCACGTTCGCAGCGCAATTGCTACGTACTTTTGGAGGAAAGGCGCGTCTTTTTTTTTATTCCCCTCATATTTCAGTCAATATTTATATCCTGCTTTCTATTCCACCGAAATCTTTTATATTCTATTCTGTTCTATTTTTATATATTCCAGTAACCTGTTCTTGTTTTAAAATAGACACTTTTTTTTTGGACAACCTCTTTCAGAAGCCTCCGGGCGAAATTCGTTGAGCGTGTGTTGCACGTGTCAGGCGTATTACTTCATTCTTTTTCTTCTGATCCGGCTCGATGGTTGCTCACGATTAAGTAACCGACATAACCATTTTGTGTTTGCTCGGGTGTTTTGCAGCTCATTAAATTCAATGTTCCTTCTAGACTGTTATTCAATGCGGAATACACATGTATCTCGGACACAGAGTAGAAAAGAAAAGAATTCTCCACCCGTCTACGTGGCTGAGCGATGATACCTACCAGTCGCCAACGGTACGATCAAGGTCGTCACGATAATCAGCGAACAACAGTTGATCCCTCACGGAATCTCTTTATTCGGGAAAGAGGTCTACGTGCAGATCTGCACGCAACCCTTTACAGGATACGTGCGGATCCGCACGTATCCCTCTGCAGGATACGTGCGAATCCGCACGTATCCCTCGCCGCAGAAGCGCTAAAAACTCGTTCACGGTCCGGAACATATTTCATTCAAGCGCGAATATTTTTACGATGTTATTTGCTATTCCGCATTCCACTATTTTTATGTTACAGCAGTTAATTTTATTCTTTTAGACAAAGAAGACATTAAGTCGTCGCAAAAAATGTCAAAATTTAAAACATTTTATGGACAGGAATGACTATAAAAAGAAATTTATTAAACTGCGATCGTCTTTTAGCCAAACTACATCCACTTCTTTTCTCTTTCTTTGCTTGCGAAATTGATAAGTACACAAAAATTCCAATACGGCCGCGATCTTCTGACCCGAAAGTCGGCTGGAAGCGAGCGGGCTGGTTCGCGATTCTAATGACTGACTCGCTGCTAACCGCAGCTGGCGCAACCGCTCGCGATTATGTAATGGATTCGATAATCGAGCTAACCTGCGCCTACATTAGTCTCAATGAAATGGTCTCTCAACGTCAGCCACAGCCTCTGAAGGATGCCTCGAACGTCTTGTCTCCTACGAATATCTAACCTCCTGAATTGTAAAAACACGAATCCGTTCGGAAACCGCGGCGCGGTTCGATCCTTCATTTCGCTGAAACGGTGGTGACTGGCCGATCCAACGCGCACGAATATGCGCGAATTACACGAACTGGCCTTTCACCGACAGTTTAGCAACGAGGTAATAACACACCGAAATTTCCTATCGCTACGAACTGGGTTAGGGGCAATTTTCCAATTCCGAACATATCTCTCCGCAACATGCAGCGAAACTTCAAATTAAAATTCCGTTATTTCACTGTTATTTGTCAAACGTCACCTGAAATTTATTAAAAAACGTAATTTATTATTTATTTGGCTGCTCTTCGCGTCCGGTTTGCAAAAAATTCCTTATCTCAATCGCGTATAATGTAATAAAAAAAAAAAAAGACTGACTCGGAAATGTCGAAAAAAATTAAACATGCTACGAATTATTCTACGAAAAAGTCTAAAACAGTAATGAAAAATCTGCGAAAACATACAATGCTGTATAATTTTGCAATCGATTGCGCGCGTAGGTAAAAAACCGTTTATCACATGACTTTGTTTTTCTTACGAGCGAGGCTTGCAGATTGATGGCAGAATCCCGCTCGTTCCCGTATGACTTGTCGCCGTGAGCACGTTGTTATTATATATCGCGATTAAATGAAAGAAAGAACAGAGAGACGCGAGTGTCGAGCGTGGCCTAACTCGCTGGCTGACTGGATGACCATGGAACATGAAAGTGCGTCCCACATTTGTCGCAATCCATGATCTGATCTTTTGGGCGTGCGACATTTTTCGAGCTGGATTTTACGAGCGCGTGCTACGCGTTACTGCAACCCCGTGTGTCTCGTTAATCTTTTTCTCCTTCATTTTTTTATCGTGAGAAATGCAACAGTGTCGAAAACACTGCCAGGTGTCAATTTATCCCGCAAATGGTGCAATTTTTTACTTTCGAAAATAATAAATAAAAATAACTTTCGCAATTTTGCAATTTTGTAACTTTTGATTGATACACCGAATATTTCTCTGCTAAATTTATTCATCTGCTAAATTTTTCACACCTTTTTTATAAAACTCTCTGACGGCTTGAAAATCTCGATTAAAATCTCGATTAATCTCTAACAGTGTAATGCTAAGTGAATAATTTAAGATGAGACATTTTATAAATTTGAAAATTTTCCCGATGCTTTCCAAGTATCATCGAGTGAATAAATGACTTAAGTATTACAGCTGATTCTTTAACTATTATTCTTGGATTCTCTCACTTTCATCACGCTTCGTAATAAATCTTCATCGAAGGTCGTAGGACTTCCTGAACGTCTAATAGCTCGTCTTACAGACTGTAATTTTGCACGTCGTGCCACTGGCTTACATTGCCTCAAAAAATATTCCGAGTCACAGCAATTGTATTATTTTCTTTCTTAAATTCATGAATAGCAAATACATTTTTTAAATGGCTTTAGGCGTTTTTAGAATCTTAAACATTTCATTCAAAAACCAACACAAACACAGTAAAGCGTGCAATCGCGAAAAAAATGTTGTTTAAAATTTCTTATTGACTATTTGTATACTTTTCGAAGTCTTATGCAATGATATACTATTGAAATATATAAGACAAAATTTTTACACGATTACATAACTGAATCGCTGAGATCTCAAGCCGCATAAATTAATTTTTTTAGAAAATTGGTCAGAAATTTATTCTCCATTTAAAATTCACGCTCAATGATGCTGCATATAATGTGCACATGATATGTTTGCCTTTTAGTCTAATACAACAGTAATTATTTGCGCGATTACACTTGCAAATATTACAGAATGAAAGATTTGCAAATAGAAAATATCAAACATTTCGAAATGGCATATATTACAAAATTTTTTTCTATCAATCATCATCTCTAGAGAATTACACATACATGAAAAGCACGTCGCTTTTGTGCATTTTTTTTTTATCTCGCAAATTCAATTACAAAACCTAGCACGAACGAGTGCACTTACTCCGTCGCGCGCTCGTCCTACATATCTCTTTTTCCTATTGTTGCGTAAGCTTTCTTACTGCGGAAAGAGCGACATTACGACCACATGAATTTCAATGCTGCACTAACACTACTTTGCGTGATTCGTAGAGTGCTAAGATCGATCATAAATCAATGAGAGACTTTGGTCTACAAGAGAAACTTTACGCTCTATTATTATATCAATCATAATAATGCAATGTACTGAAAACTGTAATTTTTACCATCAATTTTAATTTTCATGATTTATCAAGCATGTTTCTATTAATCGGGATATGAGAAGAAATATCGACATTTAACGTAACAATTTCCGCGTAAAGTTGCCGCAAAAGGAACAAAAAACAGCGGCCGCAACTTTGTTCATAAAAAAAGTATCTCTTTTTCCTCTTCGTTTCGATACAAATAAATCACACTGTAGTTTAACATAAATCAGTGGTTTTTTCGATTACGATCTAAATGCGTAATTAATTCATGTGTGCAGATATGCAAATCATATACGTATATATACAAAAATACTTCTATATGACAACATTTACGAAATGGTTCAGAGATTGATGATGTTCTCAAGATTTTGCAACAATGATTTTAATGTCAAGTTTAGCGATGACACATCGCGCCGTTTGTTTCGTAAAGAGAAGAAAAAAAAAAAAAGACAGCGACACAAAAATTGATTTCTAATTTTCGGGACCAATCTTTTATCAACGATTGCTCACTCTCGTTTGCGCAAATTACGAAAGATAGCAATTGTGATTGAATTGAGCACTCACGCGAGAGAAGATCTCGGGGGACCGCGATTACGACACGCAGACACGCAATTACGCAACTTGCGTAACTTGCACCGCGAGCTGGATTACAACTCCACCGGTGACCGTCGCATTACGATCGAAAAGCGTTATATTCGCCAGATCGAAAAACTGACGACGAAGAATATATATATATATATATATCAAACTTATTGCTATCAATTCACACTTATTATTTTCTACTCAAAATGCAAAATTTTAACTTTCTCTAATTTTTTTTCCTATCACTCAAAAAAATAATCTTGCAATAATAGCTAAAATTTTCTAGGTGTAAAAAATTAACTAAAACAGATAAATGATTAGCAACTGTTGTGATATTGCATATGTAATTACTTAATCAGTTTAGATGACAGAAACAGAATATATATCTGTATTGTTTGTGAACTTTAAAAAGAAAGTTTCTCTAAAGCGCCTATCTATATAAGATCAATCACGTGTTAGATCATGCAATGAATAACATTTAGCAATGGTACCTAAATTTTTCAGAAGCTATTGCTAAAACATTACTGCTATAAATTCTATATGTGACAAACAATGTTTTCACAGATACGAAAAATAGCGATACATTCTTGTTGCGATATCTAGAAATCTAACTACATCAGCAAAATATTTTTTTGAGTGATTAAAAAATACGAACGAGAAAAATAGTTTGAGGCAGACTGCGTCGACTTAAGGGCTAATATTAGTCAAATTGTTCGCCGCACAATCATCGGATTGTGCAACACGCAGATTACACGACGTCCTCAAAAGAAAAATGAGACGAGGAGAGTACCTCGCTGTGTAACCCTCACGGTTTACACGGTCACGCACGAGAGGAGAATTCGAAAACACTGATCGCCCTTGATTCGCAGTCCGATTCTGTGGATGTTCGATATATTCCGCGGAGAGTACCTAGAATAATCTATATTTTCGCATTTGAAGAAATCACACGTTTCGTGCGACGCAACAATAACATCATGAAATATGCTTCGAATAAAAAAGAAAGGCCGAAAGATCGAGAGGGTTCTTCGTTGTACAAAGAACATCAATGGCTAAATAGTTGATAAAAGATGATTCGCAGTGACCGGACTACAACATGCGGTCAAGGTGGGCATTTCGTAATTCAGCTGTGTACCTTCGTCGCTGCTGGCACCTGGCATGCCAATTACATGCGACGCTCTCGTCTTTTTCTTGTTACGTGCGCCTATCGAGATAACCCACTTTCCGTCGCCGCGAGACGGCGAATGAACTGACCGGCACATACGTTTCTTTTCGCAGGGTTTCTTTTATTGTCAGTCAATTAACCCTTAACCCTCGAACTCGCTGACGACTAAGTCAACCTTCACTTTGAGTACGAATTTCTCTTTTACGCGTACTAAAAATTTTCACAAGCACACTACAGTATATATTACAAGTATATTACGGCTGTCATTATTTCGGAGGCCGTCTTCGGCGCGAGGGAAAGAGAGAGATGAAAACCATGCTTTTTGTTCTGTGTAAATTTTTCTTCGTCTTCCGCATTCGCGATTTTCATACTCCTGGCGATTTCGCAGAATGTAACGTAGTTGTCCGTTAAGAGAATTTTACTAAAGACACAATCTTGCGACATGCCGCGCTAAGCAAACGGTTGTAAATCATGGGTCTTGCCACACGAGTGTGACCCAGCTAACGTCAACATCGAGGATTCGAATCTATGTAAAAGGCAAAGGACTCACCGGCATACGTGCTTTTGAAGCTCTCGTGAAGCTTGAAGGTGAAGGGAATGTGGACCTTCATCATCTCCATCTGCGGTATGCGCGGCGAATGTGTTATCACGCTGCTGCCGCCGCCGAACATCAGATCATCGCCGTGGACACGAAGCACCATCATGTTTCTGTAATTAGACGACACACTCCTGTCAGACGGTTTCTTTTAATAAGCAAGCGAATTCGAAATTTCTAATTCTGTCGACGCGGTGACCGATACAGAAACCGTTGGCCAGCGACGAGAAAATCTATTAAGAAATATTAAAAAATTAGATTCACAAAAGTTATTTTACTAAAAACTGCGCAAAGTATCGCTAATTTTGCCGTCGGAATAACAATCAACAAAGTCGAATCAAGCAATTAAATACAGCGATCGATGTTCAATGTCGTGTCACCAACGATGAAAATAATTATGAAGACGACGACAAATGCCCGAGCAAATATTAAAAGAATAGTTCACAGTTAAATGATGCGATTAACATGCAAGCAGCTACCGCCGAGTCAAGTTGAGTCCAGCTGAGCTGTCAGTGACCTTGCGACCTTGAGACACGAATATGTGTGATTGTGGTAAAACGGCGAAATGATGTAAATTATGCTTGAGAATCATCGTTATGATTTATAATTTCATAAATTCGACACAAAATCTTGAACGTACGGATTAGATATCAAAGATAAATTCAGTGATGTCAGAAGGATTAAAAACTAAACTGTTTACTTTCGTATCTCTCAAATTTTAAAATATTAAAATATTAAGATATTAAAATATTAAAATCTTCGTGTTTTGATGTTGAAAAATATATGTCATGTTATTCTTCTTAGAATTTAATAGTATTTTTAATATTATATGAATTTTGAAATATAATTTTACACGATTTTTAATTATCTCTGCGCTTTCATTAATTTATTACATCAAAATTTATTTAATTCAAAAGATTGCAGCGTTTTACAGATTAAATTTTTAAACGCAATTGACGTCATTTCGCCGATATTTGCATACTTTGAAAAAAATTATGTTACTTTAACGTATGCGAATTTTAAACTAAAGTTTAAAACACTCTACAATGCATAGTTAACATCGACACAAACAGTTAAACAATAAGCAAGAGAAAGGTATATGTCTTTGAACTTTAATCTAAAAAAAGATCTCGCTTTTAATTTCAAATAAAAAATTAGCTATTTAAATCATTAATAAAATACACGGCTGACTGTAATTTTCGCGATTAATATTCAAATTATAATCTACTCGCTCATCTCGCTTACAAAATTTCATAATAAAATCTTGGAAATTATTGAAAAGAAAATTTATGTTAGCAATCTTAATGCCATTAATATAAAATCCATTACGCGTTGCAATTAAATAACGGCGAAAGTTGGGAAACGCATAGCGCCGATAAAGTTTGATTTGTATTTTCGACCTCGTAATAAAAACATACGAATGTGAAATAATTTTCGACTTACAATAGAAACTTTATTCTAATTGCATTCGATATCAGCAACGTATACTTATATCTCTCGTTTATCGCCGTCGCAAATCGCGAAAGTCAAGAAAAAGGAAGGAGTGCGGAACGGCCAGAGCGGAGTACGCGGAGAATTACTGCTCGCGATTGCGAAGAGTTTCACGATTTACAAATAGTGCGACTTGGACTTTCGAGACTTTGGTGCCTACTTTCGAGGCTCCCCGAGCCACGAAAGTGGCTGCGTCATTCGAGAAAATCAGAGATACTTATCTCTCGTTTGTCGTCGCGTTGTCGTTGTCGTCTTTGTGAGCGCGGAACTCGACTGTCTCGTCTCTATCTAAATTGTCGACTCTCGAAGCGGCCGTAAGTCTTGCAGCTGTGCAACTCGATGCCTTGCGGCTCCGAAATCTTCTCCCCGCGATTTTTCCTCCAAATTTCCCGTTCGAAAGCACGGCGGAAGGTACGCAATTAGAAATTCCATTTCACGCCGAGTACTTATAATGTTTAATCAAAGTAGCTTAAACTGGAGTTTCATATCGCGTACGTAGTTCAGCGACCCTACATTTTAGGAGATCAGCTGGCATTGTGCCTAATTGAGATTATTCATATTTGATGTCGGGATCATTCAAAACCCGATTGGAGATTCAGTTTTAATAAACTATTCTCGTAGATTTGTGAAATCCTTAATTTCTTATTGTCAAAAATAAATTGCAATTTAATAATAAATAATAAATTGCATTGTAATTTCTTTTTATTTTTGAAACTGAATACTTTCAATACACACCTGACGCGTAATTCAAAGGACTTCGTTGCGCAATATTACAAAATTCAAGGCTGCGCGTCGAAGATAAACTTTCAACGCCTCGGCTGAACGATGATTAATATGAACATCACGCGTATCGAGAAATTAACCGTTAATACCCAATTTGTCGAACCGGTATCAAGTTTCGGGATTAATCACGGTCGAATTATTCACAACAAAAACGCGAATGCGAAATACGTCCGTTAACCTATCAATATCTGCTATAACGAATCCGTACTGATTTGATAAATGCTCGTTTTCTCGCCGCGATTGCGTTTTTCAATACCGGCGCGATACGTGTCTCGCGCAGTATTGCTCATATCGTGGCTCGTGACGTCGCTTGAAAAATAGATCGAAACAAATTCCTCCTTTGCTCAATGACGTGTACACCTTCGTAAATTGTCGCGTTATCTCTCTCACTAACTGTGTCGCTCGATTCACGAACGGCGCATATGCGCGAAGACGACGAAAAGAAAGAAATATATCGCTGCGCTTACCTCATGAGGAAGAGGAACACCGCGCAAAAGAATATCAACACGGCGAGCACCGGGAAGATGCTGGACAGCTCTGCCACGGACACCAGCATCGCTGTCATCGTGTTGCGCATCCGTGATTCCCGCCGTCGTCCGCCGTCGCGTCCTCTTCAACACCGGGTGTTGGTCCGCAGCACACCGTACCCGCCGCACACACACGCGCGCACGCATACAAAACACCACGCGACGACGACGACGACGACGACGACGACGACGAGCACCGCGTCCTCCTTCTCTCAACGTCTCTCTCCCTCGCGCTAGTCAACTGTCAACTGTCAATTGTCCGCTCGTCTTGTTCTTACCGCTTCTCGTTGATCAACGCTGATGCGAGGCGCTTGACGAGCGCGCCGTCGTCGATACCTCGTCATCGACGTCCGCTCGACGCCGTTTTTACTTACGCAACTTGCGCGGCAGATGAGACGTCGTCGTCGGCCAAGAGGCGACGCGTCACATTCTCTGACATAGCCGCCGATCGGTGCGGTGCGGTGTGCGGCACTACGAAAGATAAAGTCAGTGATAGAGCAGGACGGACGACACACGGCGAACGCGTTAATTATGCGGCACGAGCGATGCGAATGACGCAACCGTTACATACACGCTGTTCGACGATTCCGACAAGACTACCTCGCCGGCGTAGCGCGCGCCACTTATATGTGCCCATGCGCGCCTTCCTTTACACACGTTATTCCGCAGCCACGAGAATATAACTATATCGCTCATCGGCTACATCACACAATCGAATAAGAGAAAAATGCATGTGCCGCAGAGTGCTTTGTCAAAAACGGCTAACCTAAAAAAAAAATTCAAAAAGTTTATTATTAAAAAAAATTTAACAAAAAATAAATAATAATATAAGTATAGTAAGAAAGATTGAATATAATTTCGTTAGTTTCCCGATTTTCCCGATATACCAATAATAAATTTTGGTTTCGTTAAAGAAAATGTGAATTTTTTCTCACACAAATTTAGATCTTGCCAAGTTACGTGGTCGCCAATTATTTCGGAATACACCGTATAGCTGAAGTCTCAAACTAGCGACATCTGGATTGAACAGTTGCTTTACCTTCTGATTGAGCTCGACATCGAATGTTTAGATTCGTATTCTTCGCGTGTTTATTATTCTCGTTGCTCTTTCTCGAGAAGTTGCCACTGTCAACGGAAGAGGCGGAAATGTCAAAGACGCTCGCAGTAGATTTCGAAGTCTTCGGCATCGTACAAGGTACATCGTATTTGACTGACTCTGTCTGGCGTAATAGAAATTGATGACATTTATCTTGATTATTAATCGCTCTTATTACGTCTTCAAGGTGTCTTCTTCAGGAAGGTGAGTGAATTCATTGAACATTTGACAATTAATCAATCACTACCGGCGGAAACGCGATCGACGAGGTGGAATTATGTCCGAGAACCTTGAAACTCTTGCTTACGACATCTATCGAGGATCCGATGTCAACTGTTGAATGTTACAAATTTTTTTATCATTCATAAATATAGACGCGTACCTCTTTACCAATAGTTGATACAATTAGGATTTATAATTTATGCAATTACAATTAGAATTTATACGATTACAATTATATATCGACTATTTTATAAATATTTGTGAAATATTATTTATATTTTATTGATGGCCTAAAAGTTGGCCGAAAAATTTCGTCAAGAATGTTCTACCTGTAAATGTATTTATTGATAAATTTTATTGTTAATACTTTTGCAAAAATATTCTATCGCTGACAAATTTACGTATCTTATAGTACACGCAAAAACGTGGTCAAGAGTTGGGTTTGAAAGGATGGTGTATGAACACTCCGAATGGTACCGTGGTCGGTCGTTTAGAGGGAGAAAAAGCTAAAATCGATGAAATGTAAGCTGTTTAGTTAATATGAATGAGCGAAGATAAAAGACAAACCGATCGCATCCGTCTTTATTTCAGGAAACAATGGCTCCGTCACACCGGAAGTCCTCAATCGCGGATCGACAAAGCGGAATTCCGGAATGAAAAAGAAATCTCGCAATCATCACTTTCAGGCTTCGAAATCAGAAAATAAGAACGTTCCGAAAAAAATAATGCTAATATTAATATAATAGGACAACTTAAATTATCGCTGTTGTCATTAAATTATTATTTAAGTAAATATAATATAAAATTTATACCGTAAACTTGTTTTCATTCTTTTCAACGTATTGATATCAAGAATATACCACTAAAAGTGTTCAAATTTTGCATTAGGTACAATCTTTTTATGATTCGTTCGTGGTTTTCAAACCTGCAAATCTAAAACTATTATACGAATAAAATCTGCAGGAACATAAATTCAATTTAATACTACAATTTTTAAAATTTAATCATTTACCTTACTGATAACAATAAAGTATTAGACGTTTATTTTTCTCCACTCAAGTGTCGCCTCGCTTTAGCGAGTGCGAAAACACCATGTACATGGAAGCAAGGAGGAGCGACTCGCACCAGCGATCTCGCCAGCATCTCTCCGTGAGTTCCTCTCATTAGTCGACGAACGTGCGGCGAACGGCGCGGTTCTCGAGATCTTCTTGCGAGTGTCTTCCTTATCTTCTCCGTTCCTTTCATCGTGCACCGTGAATATCCGCGTCGCGGGCGAGGATGCGCCTGAATTCTTCGCCCTGATTGTCCAAGTTTGTCGCCGCAAGTAATTCGATCTTGGCTTCGTGATCGATCTCGATCAGATTACATCGTCGATCGAATTCGACGCGAATAGCCGTGATGACGCGTACGATAATGCGATGATCGATGCAGGCGAGGTGAGAGGAAGAGCAGGCGGAAAAAAATCAGCATGAAGTGTTTCGAAACCTTTTTCAAGCACACCTGGCGGCCGCAGCAGGTGCTTCAGGTAAGCGAAGAGTAAACTCGGTCGCTCCTGTGTTATTGTTGCTGTCATCATTTCTCGTCACGCGCACTTGTGATCGCCACGACCTTATCGTTCAGAAATGTGTCGATCGTCACGCTAGACATATCTCAATATTCCGTTTACAATAATCACACTGAACACCATGTCGCGCAATATCATTGATACACACAATCAGGTATGACACACAGAACAAGCTTGTAATTCCTCAATCGTGAATTCCTAAAACAAAAGGAAAAAGAAATAAATTATTTCCATTTACGTAGCGACGAGTGGCGAACTTTTCGCAATTCTCGTTTCTCGCGAAGAAAGGTATCTCTCTCAAATGTGCAAACTGGAATTTAGCAGCGAGTTTTACCGGTTATGCGGGAAATAAATCACACGCGCATTAAGGATACTTTTCGTATGCAATTTGCCAAAATAGAGAAATATTTCACAAGAGTGCTTCGACTACCAGCATTAGCATACTTTCTGTTGAAAATATTGACTTATCATGGCGACAAATAATTGTACCGCGTAATTATTGTGCTGACTTTACGTCAATTATAGTCATTATAAAACATAATTAATAATATACTGCCACTAGCTGCACACTTCACTTTTTGTATTTTTCTACTTTTTCATGCGGCAGTTTGTTTATTCAATATTCAATAAATATTCAACATTCAATAAATTCCAAGTTATTAAACTTATTATCTATTTTACTAGCAAGTCATTATATCCGTGTTTTTATCTCACTTAATTCAGTGCGCACAAGTGCGCATATCGAAATTTTTATCTATTTTATACATAATTATTTTCAAATAATCTATTTCTTGATGACACTCGCTTGAACACATTCACGTATTATCAAAGTCGATAAAAATTTGTCAAAATGGCTACCAGCTAATTGATTAACAATCTTAATCACACGGTTTATCAGTCGTCGACCGACTTCTCTTTCTCTCCGTTGCAACGCGGTCGACGTTCTTCCGCACAAATCACCACAATTTTTCAGTTCGGAATCCTTGTCACGATGATAAGAAGTTGATGGACAGCGCAGCATACGATTTGCACAATCGTATCTGTCCTCGAGGAAAATAACGAACAAAATCGGTACGAGTTACGTAAAGTGTCGCGATTATAATGCGGAAACGCGCGTGTGCCGTAATGTTTCCTCGTGCACAAAAGCAAGATATTTGCATTCGCAACTTTCTTTTCTCTTATTCAGAATTTGCGTGACACATTAACATACAATTCGTACCGCAAATGTCTGTAACGTTTTTTCACGGTATAATAATAATTTTTTTTTAAATAATTAATAAGTAATAACTAAAATAAATAAATTGAAAATAATTAATAGCTAAATAATTTTGTCGCAATTGCAGTGAACAAATTAGAAAAAAATCTACTTTTGATTAACGTAATTTGTGAAGATCTTCGACAATAGCCGCGGGAGGAGGAGCCGGTTTATTAGCCGGAGCTGGTCAGGGGTCGTGCTTGATAAGCTCTGATAATGGCTTTCGCTCGAGTTAACTAGTCAGTTCCTACGGCGATTCGTGCGAGCGAGCTACTACGTGTCGCACGAATTCTTCAAAGTAACGCGTTTGCTGTAAATTAGCATTCAAAGAATCACATTTAAAAGTCAGAAACGCATTCCTACAATGCGATAGTAAAATATGAACAAGGACGATTACGTCAGGAAATATAAATATGCGTTCGACAATGTGAGTACCGCACCTACGCATCGAATTAATGTCTGTAGAATTTTTTTCATCAAATTACAATAAAATGTGCGGTATTGAAATAAATATTTCTTGCTTTCTTAAAATATACAATATCGCGCGACTTAAATCCGCCGTGTGTCAATCACTTATCCAAGAATTTTTGTTCTTAATTTTCGTAACAATGCATCGGCGATTGCATCATTAACAGCTACTCGAGAGAGCGATTAAACTTTTTGCAAAGGGATTCGTGAAAAAACGGACGTTGGTGAACAACATGATCGATCGCCTCTAATCGGGTCGTTGACTGTCGTCGATCCTTGAACGAGCGCGGTGAAAGTTGTGTAATTCGAGAAAAAAGCGTGATCTGAATCGGAAAGCGCGATTTAAGAGCACTGACAAGTGAAAACTCGATCCGATCCGATTCTTATAATTGCTGTGCGAAAAAGAAACCGACTCCGAGATGCGGTTATTAAAAAATTTCATGGAATTCTTACAACAATCGCGAGTGATTAAATAGGGCGTAACAAACCTTCGCCAAGATCCACTTGAGAATTGATAATTATTAATGCGCATGATTGATCGTAACAGATGATGATGATATCGTCGCCGGGATCCATATGGCATTACTCGCACACACAAACAATCGCATTTCCGTCGTGAGCTCGATATGTGAGCCCGCAATGGAATCCCTTCACCTCGAAAAGCCGGATTCCTGTAGCACGCATTGCCGTCGCGTTTTGTGTTCCTTTCACCTATGGATTCTCATCCTTGCACGCACGTGTGACCGATTGACTATTTTGTAATCTTTAAAGAAAAAAATGTTCTATTTTATGCATTTTATTGTAGTATTTAATTCGCGAAAAAAGATTCTGCAATGTAAAATCATAGTAAGAAGAGAAAGACAATTAGAATTTGAACACAGTTCAGTGTTTATTCCGACTTATTTTACTCTATGTAATAAATTTTAAAAATTAATTAATAACAAAAGTTACAAAACAAAGTTTATAACTACGTTTAAGCTTTGATTGAAATCTAATTGGAATCTAATTCTCACTATGTTTTTAATATTATTTTACAAGCTTACCTCGGTCGAGCTTAATCCGGAAATATCACGACGACCCGAAAACCACATATAGATAATTGTTATCACACAAAATAAATACCGGAATGTCTGTTGTTGCTGCATTTTGAGAAATGATATCATAAAATACCTGACGAACCAGCAAATATTATTGTTTCAGCATTTCTTCAATTATATGATTTCATATCAATTTCAACATTTCTCGCTTCGTTTCTACGTGTCTGCGATAAATCGAATAAATATTTAATCATTTCAGCTAACACAATCATTTAATCATTTTTAATCATTTCACCTAACACAAAAGTACAGAAAATTATATATTTACTTTGCGAAACGACGTGCAGATTAAATTTAATGAAGGAATATTCCTAAAATATCTTCAAGCGTACCCGCTGAGTAAATTCAACGAATCAAACAATTGTTAAAACAAGGCCGTAAAAAACGAAAGCGTCAATTTTTTGCGCATTGACATCCGCGCTTTAGTTTTCAGACTTTTTTCAATTCATTTTTTCGCTATTAAAAAAGAAAAACATTGGAAATTTATGATTGTATGCGAATAATTCAGAAATTAGTGTACATTAATATTGATAAAGATAACTTATCTTTTCCAGATGGATCTGCCGTCAAAGTTCGAGCCGACGACGAAGATGACGGAGATACATCGGCATGCCGGCGGCGAGACCACAGAGCTGGGTGAGGTGAAAGTGATGACCGCACCGAGTAGCAGCATGACGACGACGATGCTGAATGCCAACAGCAGCAACGACACGGCGCCGTGCAAAAACAGCGGCTGCAAAGTCTGGAGCAGCCGCGGCGAGCCGCGGTCCGAGAGTCCTTGGCACTCGCTCAAGACTATCTTTCTCGTTTCCGTGATCGTGGCGTTCCTCCTGTGGATCATCGTTTACACTCTGCTGGATCGGTATAGGATCCTGTAATCCATCGGATCCTGCGGGATTTCGTAATTCAGCACTGAGCATTGGATCCTGCGATCGCACGTGATTTATGATCGCTATCGGGCTCTGCGAGCCACTTGGTTTAGCAAACACGTTGTATAATCGACAGCAGGTCCTTTGACGAACGTGGCTTCGTGGATCCATCCTTACAATCATCAGATTCTGTGATTTTTCAAGTGATTCGGTAATCACATTGGATTCTGTAATCCACGCAATAACAGAATGATATCTGTAGACAGATTTGAATGCGCTCGAAAGCTTGAGGTTGTTTTGTAAGTCAAATTGTAATATTGTATATTTCGTACTCTTTTAAATATTTACGATATATGTGAATATTCGAATAAAATGCCATGTTATATATCTGTGCAGTCAAATTTTTTTATCTTCGTGTTCTTAAGCGCAACTTCTATTTAAAAAAAGCTGAAATCACGTAAATTTAGTAAACTATTCATTAAAAAAATAACTGAAAAAATATCACAACATCTACAAAAAGTTCTCTAAAAAAAGTTCTCATATTGTAGATTATCTGCTGTCAGTCAATTTATCGAAAATAATGTCTGCAAAGCTACAAAAAATTGAAATAAGATCTATATTAAAATTTAGATGTTTAGAAATGCTAAATGATTGTTAAATTAACATTGAAACATTTTGATATAAATTAAATCTAAATTTTGTATCTTAAAGTAATACTTCACATTCTCTCTCCAATTATTTTCTCGCTTCACGGTGTCGATGAGTCCAGATTAGAGGGGTTCCACTGCGATTTATTCCACCCTTTACTATTATACAAAGATTCGAACAGGTTGTATGCTAAGTTGTTATAAAAAAAACTAAAACTGTACGGCAAATTTTTACAATAAATTGTAAATAATACTGAGACGTAATTTTTAATAAAACCTTTAAAAGTTACGCAGTATCTTATAGTAACGCTAACAAAACTGAGATTTAGTTGAAATTTTCAACTAATTTTCGAAATGGACCTCCATTTGTCTTCCCTCGACGCTATTAAAATGAAGGTAACAATCAATTTTTCTTATCTATAAAATTTTATGAAAGCTGGAAAAACATTCGATGTTTGCTAATTATAATCAGTGCCTTGCTTCAACTATCTGAAAAACTCTGCGCAGAATTGTCAGAAAACACTGTATTATAAAATATAAAACATAATAAATGTATTTCACTTGATAAAGCATTTCTGCTATTAAAACATGTTGACAAAATAATCAAATTTAATACTTTTTTATGGCAAAAGTTTCTAATATTATTTTTCTTCGTAGAAAAAATATTATCTGCGAGTAGAACCTGTGATCATTAATTTAAACAAATTAAAAAGTTTATATTAAACAATAAAAACATAAAAGTATCGCAGGCGATAACCAGCCTCAATAAAAATCAATGCTAAAAAATGTTAAATTTAAGTAAACTGAAATATACTAAAATAATAAAAGACAATCAAATCTTAAGTCAACGCCAAACTCTGCAAACAGGCTCTGAAATGCCTAAATAAACACTACTTGTAAAATTTTATTAAGAATAAATAATTCACCAACGCGAGTTGGCGATTCATTTATTTTGCATTCTTCCGTTTCTTGCAATCGGCACTAGAAAATTATGCGACGTTAACGAGACTGCTAAATCTCCTGTCCATTTCTTTCACGTGCATCGCAGCTGTCAATTATCTTGTTGAAACAATTATCTTATTGAAATAGCGTCGCGCGCTTTTGTCGCGCACAGAAAGTCAGCCGAAAATTACAACCGAGTCTCAGTTCTGCTCTACAACATGTAGAATTGATCAAAAAATTTGTTCGCTGTTTTGTTTCTCTTACATGGCTCTTATGCTAATATAAATAAATGAACAAACTTTTCGATCGATATAAATTAATGGTGTTCCGTTTCATTTTTGGCCGGTAGTAGACGATAGAGACAAGATGTGATGTAGGAGAGAAGAGAATCAACTTAACATAATTTAAATATCGCGCGTTACACAGATTTTGTAGATGGAATTTTAACACACACATGTCCTCCGTTTCTTTCGAGTTTTTCTCTATCTCTTTCGTTGACTTTAACCTCTTGACTTAAAAGATATACGCAATCTGCATGAAAATGCATGGAAATGCAATCGCACGCGAGACAGAAATTCTCTCCTCCCCTGTAGCACCGCGATGAAATTGTCGTCGGTAAAAAAAATATGACTGTACGCAATCGAACATGTATCTCGCGAAACAACCGCACGATAATGGTCTTAGCGAGTCGCGATCTGCCGATGCAGACGATGACATTGTCGTTATTATCGGGAACGAGCAGTCGTCTCAGACAACCGGAAACCAGCAGCAGCCGACGTCGAGCGCGCGCGAAACGGAGATGCGACAGTATCCGAGCGCGCAGAGATTACGGAATGACGGCGACGACGACGAAGAGGAGACGAATGACAATGTAATTGTTCGCTTAATATGTCCCGAGGAAGATTCTCACCGGATCGCGTGTATTTCAGTTTCCGGCGGAGAGACGAACGCTACCGCGGGTGATCGTGATCGGCTGGGACAGATTCCGCACGAGACTGTTGCTGTTCCTGATCGTCTGCCTTCTCGTCTGGGCTTGTATTTTCTTCCCTTTGCTTGACACCTGAACCATCGATTCTCCCCTTGCGAGATGACAACATCGACGACATTTAATTGATTCGACACGACGACATTCAATACGATGGCACGTACACTTTCACATTTACATTTACATGTATATATTACGTCCAATATAATTTTATATTTTTGGTATTACGTATTTACACGCTTAGACTTTATCGGAAATATATTAATTTATGTAGTGGCCTTTGTGGATAAGAGATTCAACGGCTTGCACACGGAGTGTCCACTGAATAAGAAAAATTTCAATTTTTCAGATCCATCTGTCCAGATAGTAGACACTCTGTTATTTCCAAACTGTCTTAAATCTTTTTTTTTTTTTTCAATAGAAATGTGCTTATCGCGAGATTTCCATAGCTTTACAGCACGCATTCAATCGTTTTAATACTTATTTTTATCTTTTATTAATAAATATAGATTTAAAGCGATTTGGAAATAAGCTCTGCGCTTTCGTAATGTTTATCCGCAATGTTACACGATTATCCTCGAGATTAGCGGTTACTAATCTCCTCAAAATCGGTCGCGATCGATTTAAACAATCGCAACCTGGAAAAGTCTATCGCATGCGCGATTAATTAATAGATATACGTACCTTTTATTTACAGAACACTCTTTCGTTGTATAACATATCGTTATCGTTTTTTTCGAAAAGAAAAGATGGTACTGAAGATACTGAAAGTTCTCGAGATTACGTAAACTCGAGTGTAGATGAGTGATAGTGCCTTACGGTGTAGTTTTCAGAATGCAGGATAAGTCACCGAAAACAGAAAAACTTGCAGAGACAGTAGAGAGGAAAATAATTTTGTATAAAAAAAGGATTTCTTTCATCTCTGTTAATTTCTGTAAAATATATCCTATTTATCTTCGAGCCCAAAAGAGGCATTTCAAATGTTTTGGTGACTCATCCTGTCGAGTTTACGATCGTCAGTGATTCGTGACATGCGATGGTACAATCGATAGTCGACGGCTTATTAAATACGGCTCACAAATATCTACTAATTTGGCATGTAACAACCGTGACGGTACTATGTTTATATGTTAGCATCACGTCGCGGCCAGCGCATCACGTCAAGGGAAATTCTCAGTAAATATATATACGTAATATGTACAAAATCTATCAAACTTCCATCTTAAAGACCCGATAAAAATGTTGCCTACCTGAAGGATTCTTCGAGGAATGAAAAAGAGTTTGTTAGATGCCATATTTGTCGCTGCTTCATCACTTTCGATATTAAATGCTCCGTATCTTACATTCGCCCGACCTTCACGCCGTTCTCTTTGTTGCGACGGGACGAGCTGCGATGCAAGCGTTGCTTCTCTCTGGACGAGGTCCTTCGCAGGCTCGGCCGTTTCACCGAATCCGCGCTAGCGCTCAGACCCGCGGCTGAATTTCAAGAGAGAGAAAAATATTATCTCTTTAATTACTTTGAATGAAGACATTAAAAATTTTTTTGGAAAATTGTTCGATTATTTACCGATATTGCCAGAGGACGATCGACTTGAACCGCGTCGAACGTGTATCGTCGAGGGATCGCTATCCGTTATCGCCAGCTTCCCCTCCACGGGCGTGAGAAACCACTCGGATCTAGTTCGCATTCGGGCGGTTTGTCTCTCGTGAACCTGCAATCGCAACGCAACGACTTATATTTTGATAAGAATAATCTTGAAAACGCAAAATATAAACGATGCTTCAGTCTCCTATATTACTGCTCAATTACTATCAATGTGTATTCGTTCAAGTAGGATTACCTGCGGCATGTAACTGAGATTCTTCGTGCTCTCGGCGTAGCGATTCATCGCGCGCAGTTCGTCCAGCGTCATGCCTGTCGCGGCGCGTCTAGAATGATGACTGCCGTTACTCGACGAGCGACTGGACGCCTAAAAAGTATTATTTATGGTTAGTTTTACCGCTTTGATTCCTTTCGTTGACGCATTGCGAGAATGTTGCAATACCTGCAATAGGCCGTCTTCTTCTAAACTGACCGAGAGACGCGTGTAACTTTCGAGTAAGGTGTTTTCTGGAATCATGCCTAACGACGCCGTGAGTTTCACGGACTCCGATGTGTGGACTAACGCTAGAGTCGACTGCGATTCTTTTTGGTGTGACATACCTGTCGCGTGAAGCAGCGATTATTATTAAACAAAAAATGTATAAAATAAATAAAATAATTTTTCCCTCTTCTACTGAAAAGAGAGAGAGAAAATTCTTCGGCACATTTCACACATTTTTGAGGACTTACTTTCTAAATTAAACTTTAGTCCGCACTCCTCGCACTCATACTGCAACCACGTCTTCTTGGTCTCCAGCGATAACTGTTCTGGAATTTATAAATTTATGTCACACTCGCGTGATTCACTTATCATAATTGAAGACGCACTCGTGTGAAAAACTTACTCGACACGAAAGTGTCCGGTGGATATCGAAAATTGAAGAAACCATCCTCCTCCATGTTTATTATACGGCCGGTTATGCGCGCGTAATACTCGTAATTGTCCTTTCCGAATAGATTCAGTACGCCAAAGTTGTCTATCATGAATTTTGTGATGCGTGTGGCAACCTAGAAGTAAATCGTCTCCACGTTATGAACAATTCTTTTACGGAGAAGCAAATTCTTATTTTCTGAATGTTTCAATCCGCGGAGTAACGTCGGCTTTCTTAATCCGATAAAGTCTGCACCTTAAACCTTAGAACGTCCTCCATCTTAGCAGTTTTACCATCGCTGACGCAACTCTGAAAGAACGAGGGTGCCACGGAGACCCCCAAAGCCTCGCTGTTCATAAATGTTTCCGCGATCTCGCTATTTACAGCTATTACCCTGAACGTTCCAAACAACAGCACCAGCAGCCGTTGTGTGCATATCGGCATGGAGGTAATTAATCTGCGCAAAAAAATTTCTTTCACGATGCAAATCGACGATCACGTGTCGCTCAAGGACGCATAAACTGATTCCAAGTGATTTACATGTGTATCTGGTCCCGTTGTTGTTCCATGTTGTCCAGCTGAATCAAGTTGAACAATTGCTCCTCGCGCTCCTTCCCAAACACGCCGCCGGGTATCTTGCGTAAAAATTTCTTCAAAACGCTAGCTATCGTGTACATGCTAAAGTTGTCCATGTTGACCAGCTGTCCGGTTTGCAGGATGTGTATCAGTTTCTTCACGTTGCCCTGATGACCGGGAGCGCGAAAGATGTTCTTTACAAATGGGGCTTCCTTGTTTAATATCAGTATGAGGACCTGAAACAGAGGGAAATTGTTAGTAGTATTCTGTTCTTTTGTATTTTGCAAGAAGGTACTTGATTGCGTTTGCTATTTACCAGTAAGGGACCGGGAATGTCGTTCTTGCATACTTCGTCCAGGGGTATCCCAAACTTCACTCTACGAGAAAGGAAAATAAATTCGGTTACTTGCGCGAATATCTTGGAAATCCGGGGATGATAGCGAGAGATGAATTGTGCGTGAACTCTGGACGTAACAAACCAAAGGGAGTCTCTCTCTCTAAAACGAGTGGGATGCTTTTGGAAGGTAATGCATGTATGTTGAATTAGATGCGGTGCACTTTGCTGTTTGTTATACAAAAACGGCGCTATCAAATGTCACTACTTTGTGATCGCTAAACAGCTCCAACAGGCTTCAACATACAATAGGTCAGCAATATTAACGCGATGGACTCGGAGAGATGCCAACACGCATTAGTGACATTACGTTACACGTAATCTTCTTAAACTCTGCGATTACTTACAATTCTACCGCGCTCCTCCCCAGAGCATCAAACATATAATGCAGAATGCCGATAATATTTGCCCGATATATTGTTAAATATCAATTATCACACATCTGCGAAAAAATTTAAAAGTTTTTTATTACCTCAATTTATTTCCTTATCCAGAAATAACAATATGCTTTATCTCTAGATCTCAGGATATGACAGTTAATATTTTCACTATTCTATTTATTCTTTGTTAATAATCATCTATAAAGATCTTCCAACTTGTGTAAACAATCGATTTATACTCATATCCTGATAAGAATCAATTTACATTGTGTAATTAGACAACTTATACTTCATACTATTTCCCCCTAAAGATGTTTTATGTATTTCAGTGTAACACATGTGTAATTACAGTACAAAATATAGTTTCGAATGACAAAGCATGCCAGTGCATCATCTGTCCAAGAAGAGCACAAAGTCACGCAGTATTTCTCATGTATGCTTAAATAAAAAAAAAAACTTTCTTTTAACCATATTTTTAAAAAAATTTAAATTAATTGGAATACAATGACAAGTAGGAAAATTACATTTTAATTTTATTTTCAAGTGATATACTAACTTTTCAAGGCGTCGCGGGCGATATCGCCGCCTTGAAGAGGGATGACCACAGCTGGTTACAACGTATCCTAAGGTAGCGGCGCTTAGATGTATTCTCTCTGCCCAATTGCTCATTCCACTAAATAAGGATGACAATGGAATGGAAGCACTAATACTGCTTTACTCTCTCGTCTTCTCCCGAGAGAAGCCAGACCTTCTCTGGCCTCTCGTGCTTGTTAACCGGTTGCTGAAAGCACACCGTTCATTTTTGTACATCACTTCAAATTTCAAATTTCAAATTTGTATTTCAAAATTTTTGCCACATTTTCTAACTTGAAAATTCGCTTTTTCCCGCAACGTTCATGTTAATTGATAACTTTGAACTAATATTTTCTGTCAACGTTATCGTTGCTATAATTAATGCTATTGTAATTTTGATTTTTTTGATCCCAGAGTTATTAAACTAACACGCGCGTCCGTGTTCAATCAAAACCCATTGTTACGCTTAATAGGTGCAATTAATTAACAATGGACAAGAGATATTCCAGTAAATTGAACAAGCGCGCTCTCTAATCGCGCGCAATTACTGCACTGATCTCTCAACTGCTTCGTCTTTAAAAATACTTTCCCAATTTGTTCATATTTCTTCATAAATCAATTATCATTTACAAAAAATGTGCCGAAAAATTCCAGAAACTTGAATAATCGTAAAATAATTTTAAATGTCCGGAAATCGTGATAAGGCGGTATAGGGATGAGGGAAGGAGGGGTGGAAGGGGGGAAGGCTCACCGAAGTAAGGGCGATGACGGTCAGATCCCGCCATCGATGTAAATTTCGTTCGACGGAATCCGCGCTCGTGGCTAACCTAATC